CAGCTCCTTGGCTTGTCTCTGCTCAGACCAAGCCCCATGGAAAGGAACACGAGGGCTGTGCTGACTCCAGCGAGTCTGATTTATCAGGGCCACTGGCATTTGCGAAAGCAAGTGGTCTGTTTGGATGAGATGTTTCCCAGGCAGAAAGAGAGGAAAAAAATAAAGATCTGGCCTGATTCTCCCTGCTCTTGGAGCCTCTCAGTGTCACTGGCTCTTCTCGGTCGGCGAAAACAGTGGGAATGCCGTGCGCAGGAGGCTCTCGGAGCTCGAGGCCTGCCTCGCCCCCAACGCCCATCGCCTCCTCAAGCACTTTTATTCCCTGACACGAGGAGATGTTACTAAACCGCCGCCCTACACTCCTGCAGCTCTGCCTGCCCTCCAACCTTCCCCACCACGCTCTCCCCATCAGGCCTCCTGGGCCCCCCTCCCCCACCTGGGGCCACCCCCATCTGTTTTCTGTTAGGAGTTCATTTTCAGAGTGCAGGCTGGTGGAATTCGGAGTTCAGACCCCCTCGAGTGATGAGAGTCCTGGGGCTGCTGAAGGTCCCTTCATGCGGTCCCTGCCACCTCCCCCTCCTTTCCCTCCCTATGCCCCATTCGGCCTTGTGCAATAACATGCTGGGGCCCACATCTGTTTTCAATTCCATGTTCATTTGAACTGCTCTGGGAAAATGGAAGCCCTCCCTAAAGGCAAGGGTCTTAAAGCAACAGCATGAATATAAACAACTTTATTTAACCAACAAAGGAATATATAGAGCGAGATCCTTCCACGTCCAAGTTGGAGCTGTTTCATTGAAGATCTGTCTGCTTACTATGGTTCCTGGATGAGGCAATATATAATCAAGGATTCTTAATTCCTTCCTTCTTGGTTCTAATGTCATCTCTTACCCAATTTCCAACCTGGGAATGTTGCCTGAATTCCACTCTTTGAATCAACACAGTGGATGTTCCCAGGCTCCGAGCTTAGTCTTCAATTTATTGTCCGATCAAAACTGTAGGTTTTTTTTCTCTCGTTAAAAACAAATAAGGTAGGGGATTTCGTTGTCATTTTTTATCTCTCTGTTTATTGCCAAAATACAAGGTGAGTCATATATGTGTCTTTTAGCAGGAAAGGCGCATGAAATGTTCATCGCCCAGGGAAAGCTAACAAATGGTTTTTAGAAGGTGAGGCTATACCCTCAGCCAAAATGCTGCCTCTTCTTGAGAAAAGTGAATTTGGCCATAATTATGAGGACGTTATCTATGGCTTAGAGTCACTGGTAAATCATCGGGAGAATAAATAAAAGAGCTTTGGAGGCCAGGAGACAAACAAGTTTTGCTTTGTCATCATAAAAAAGAAACCCTAGTGATGGGAAGTTACCATAGAAACAAGCATTGTTCTTGGAGTTGAGAGTGTTGGATGTTGCCTTTCATCACGTCTCTCTGCCCCGTCAACCTGAATGCACCCCCCCCAATCATCTGATTGACACCAGAGCCCGGGGTCAGGTGAAAGGCAAGAAAAGGAAAGGAGGCACCAGGCTAAACCGACTACAGGGGTTATGTGTTCATTCATTCATTCATTCATTCATTCATTCAAGAAATATTAGCATTAGTTTAATATGCATGCCTTATAAGTTATATAACAATGTAATATTCATTTATTATGTGCATTACATATATAACAATATATACTATATCACCTTGACAAATATTTGGGGAATTATTATATAGTCAGGTACCAATATACATATAAAATATTGAGACAGTATGATATGTTCCTAACCTTAATATAAAGTAAACTATATATATTACATAGATATTATATGCATATTATACACCTATACAAGTATGCTGAATTATTACACATAGAATACATCCATGTGTAATATGTGAACGTAGATCAGCAATTTTCAACCTTTTTCATCTCATAGCACACATAAACTACTAAAATTCTGCAGCACACCAAAAAATACATTATTTTTTGCCAGTTCAATACAAGTATAGGTATAATTTTGATTCATTTGCACTGGACAGCTATTGTTGTGTTGGCTGTTGTCATATTGTTATTTGACAATCTCAGGGAAAAGAGGCCTGTGCCCCTGACTAAATAGTCAAGTATTGCATGTTTTAAAAATTCTTGTGGCACATTGGTTGAAAATCGCTGGTGTACACTATACGCATTTATTCAACAGCTATTTATTGAGGCTGTATAACTTGGTAGTTTAGAGTTTGGACCCTGGCACCAGAGTTTCCAAGTTCAAATCTTGTTCAAATCCCCTTGGTAGTTGTATGACCTTGCTAGTTACTTAATCTATCTGGGTCTTGATTTCCTCATGTGCAAAACAGATATAATGATATTATCTACCTGATAAAGGTCTTAAGAGAGTTTAATACAATAATCTTTGAAACTGCTTAGAAGAATACCTGCACTAGCATGTGGTTAGAGTTGATCAATAGTAGCTATTATGCACAGCATCTGGTCAATGCTGGAGTTATGCTCAGGTGAGGCAGACAAGCAATGCAATGCGGAGGAAGGAGCCCAGATGCCTCCATTCTAGCCCTGGACTCTTCTACAAAAGAGTTTAAGAAAGGACCCCTGTTTAGTTTGATATAATCCCATTTGTTTATTTTTTTTCTGTAGCTTCCCTTGCCTGAGGAAATATATTCAAAAAATAGCTAAGAGCAATGTCACAGAGTTTACTGCCTATGTTTTCTGCCAGGAGTTTTATGGCTTTATGTCTTACATTTAATTTTTTAATCCATTTTGAATTTATTTTTTTATATATAATGTAAGAAAATGGTCTAGTATAATTTTTTGTATGTGCCTATCCAGTTTTTTTCCTCCAACACCATTTGTTGAAGAGACTGCCCTTACTCCATTCTATATTCAGATTTTACACAGCAAAGGAAACCGTCACAAAACAAGGCAACCCATGGAATAAAAGAATATATTTGCCAGTGATATATCTGACATGGGATTAATATCTAAAACATATAAAGAACTCAGACAACTCAACATAACAAAGCCCACAAAAATCCAATTAACAAATGGGCAGAGGACACGAATATACATTTTTCCAAAGATGGCCAACAGACTCATGCAAGCATACTCAACAGCACTCATCAGGGAAATTAGAAATGAAACCACAATGAGATATCACCTCATACCCCTTCCAAATGGCTATTATCAATAAGTCAACAAACAAGAAGTGTTGGTGAAGTTTGGAAGAAAAGGGAGCCCTGATGTACTGTGGGTGGGATTGCAGATTGGTGCAGGCGCTATGAAAAACAGTATGGAGGACCCTCAAAAATTAAAAATTTAAACCATTCTCTGACCCAGCAATCCCACTTCCAGGTATTTTTAAACAAAAAAACCCAAAACACTAATTGAAAAAGATATATGTACCCTTATATTCATTGCAGCGGTATTTACAATAGCCAAGATATGGAAGCAACCTGAGCATC